CGGGACGGCGGCGGGGAGCGGGACGCCGCCGCCGCAGCCGCCCTCGAGCCCGGCGACGAAATGGCCGCCGCCAACCCCTGGGACGAGGGGCAGCCCACGGCGGCGGGCGCCGCGCTGGCGCGCTGCCTGGAGGCGGGCGTCGTGAGCCAGGTGCGGGCGCGGTAACGGCTCCCGGGCCGGTAACGGCTCCCGGGCCGGTAACGGCTCCCGGGCCGGTAACGGCTCCCGGGCCGGTAACGGCCCCCGCCGCGGCGGGGCGGCGCCGGGCGTAACGGTCGGGAGGAGGGGAGGGAACGGGAGGGGAGGCTCCCAGGTTCCTGCTGCCGTTTGCACTTTTCTCTGCCCTTTTCCCCCCACAGGAGACCCTGGACCTGCTGTGTCCCAGAGCCCCGTGCTTCGTGAAGTTCTCGGAGCGGGAGCGGGTCGCCAATCTCCAAGCCGAGCTCAACCAGGTAGGGCCCGGCTGCTGCTGCTCGGCTCTGTGCTGTGCGTGGAGGTGACAACCGTCACCAGCGTACGTTGAAACAGGTCCCAGCCTCATGGCTGTTCTGTCAACCACTCCTTTGGTGGCTTTACCCCCTGGGCTGAATTGTGTCGTCGTTGTCGTCCCCAGAAAAAAGAACAAAATGATTAAATAAAAGCTTTTGGCATACCTGGAAGGGCACAGCAGTTTGCGCCTTTGACCGCAGTGTGATATGAGGCTTTGTTTGCCAGTAAAATGAAGGTCTGTCTTTACAGACAAGCGAACCATTTTCTTGGCTAGCAAGAGCTATCCCTGGTCACTTCCTACCTAATTTACTGTTAGCGGCTGGATTTTATTTTATGATGATGTATTCTGAGCCCTTGCCTACTAGTGGGAAAACTGGGCCTGTTAAATTTTGCAATTTGGGCTCTAGCCCAACTTCAAAGCAGTGTGACAAATTCTCTTGTACCTCTTCAGAGAGCAGGAGACAACTGGCATCATCCTACAGCTAGAAGGAACTGTTCTCAGCTGTGAGTAATGCAGCTGCTTAACCTTCATTGCTGAATGTTTTTATGCACAGAATAGATTCTCACAGTGAACGAGGAAAACAGTTTTTCCTTGTTGCTCCTAGAGGACTGATGTCCTCCCCTTGTGTCTTTTCCCCAATCTTCTCCCATCTAGCCTAAAGAATGACAAATCTTTTAGCTAACTACAATAGTTATTCTTTTCCAAACAGGCTATGATTCTTCTTTATTTCTTAAAACTCATAGCAAGGGGAAACACCTGCTCAACACGTTGTTTACAGGTTTTACTGTTGGGTCACGACTTTCTGTCCTCAGCATTAAGTAATAATCACTTTAAGCCTCTCTCTACTTTTTTTACTTCTCTTGCTTGCTGCTTTCAATCAGGAATGCAAAAATATGATTTTTGGCATCATTTTGAAGCACCTGCTCTTTGGATAATAGTATGGATCACAGAAAGGTATCTGCTGCTCTTGCACTAGTTTATTGTTGAAAAGAATTAAGAGGTTTGTGCGAGAGCTTATCCCTCAGCTTTAAAAAAAAAAAAAAAAAAAAAAAGCCTTTACTAGGAGGAGCAGGCTTTTTAAGCACACTATAGACAATAAAACTGCTTTGTGGCTGATAAGCTTCTGTGTTTTTAAGAATAAATTGCCTGATCTATCTCTTTTAACACAAATTTTACCCAAAATGATTTTAGAGTTTTACTGAAAAGAGCACAAATATGTCTTGGTCTGTCTCTTAGTGTCTCAGTCTCTTAATTGAAAATATATTTTCATTTGATTTTTCATTACTATTGTAGAAAAAAATGGAAATTGAAATCCTGGAATTGGAGAAGGAGACTGCAGACATTACTCACCCCTTTTACTTGAGTAAGTGCAGTTATGCATTAGAAAAAAATACGAGTGTTAAGTAACATCATCAGCAGATTAATGTCTCATTTGACTACATGACACTTGTAGAAATTATTGCATCTGTCCTCACTGGATAGCTTGTTAGAGGTGGCAGGTGCTTAATTAGCCCATAAAGAACAGGCACCTTATCCTGTGATAGTAGGGGTTGTGTGTGTCACTGTGCCCTCTTGTCCCCAGGGTTAGGGGAACATCAGGGATACCTCAGTATCATGCTTTACTTCCCTTGGCCTGTGTGTCCCTTCTCTGCTTTTCTGGCAACTTGATAGATTTGTTTGTTTGTTTTCCCTTCATCTTAATGTCCCTAGAATTGCTCAGTTCTTTATTTTTGTGGTTTGGGAGCACATGGATTTATTTCTTCAGTATTTCTCCCTTGCTTTTACCACTACAATTTGTTGGATGCCTAAAAACTTTCTAGCTTGCTAATGTTGGTATAATGCTAGTGGTGTACACTGTAGTACTTCAATTCTGTGATACAGATTAAAAAGTGGATTTCAACTCTTAAAGGCATCTTAGTTTTGCTGTTCTATCGGTGGTTCTGTGTATCTAAAAAGTAGATATGATTAAGAGTTTTTTTTTCAAAATAACTCTGATGTTAAGTCTTATCTAATGTTAGTCGCTCTTAATGATCTTTCTTGAGTGCAGACTGCCTTGTATCAGACTTTTTCTTTACACCTCTCTCCAGAAGAAATTCTGCTGTCACTTTAGCAGGCCAAAAGTTTCAAGTTTGCAATCTTATTTTATAGACCAGAAGTACCAGATCCTTCAAGATATGAACAACCACTTGGAAGCAGTGCTGAAGGAGAAAAGGTCTCTCAGACAAAGGCTCATTAAACCCAGATGTCAAGACAGCCTGCCTATCGAGGCTCCTTTCCACAAGTAGGTATACGGAAAATAATTGTTTTGCCTGAATCCAGATCAGTTTCAACTTGGAGATAGTAGAAGTTAATGTTCTGTCATTCACTTTTGGATGAAGAGAAAAATAGCTTGTGAACCTCAGCTGAAAAACTAATAGTTCATTAATTGGTTAAATTTATTAAATGATATTAAGTCTCTTCATTAATGTTTGCCTAAAGTGATTTGGTCATGTCTTCTGAAGATTTCACAAAGGTTTATGTTGTATCTCCAGAGGAGTATTAAATGTTTGATTGGTTGTTATATTTGTCATCTTGCTTTCCCTGTGACTTGCTCAGAATACAAATGGGTAATGAAAGTGGTAATTGTTGAGAAATCAATTAGATGGCCAGGATCTTTATTAAAGCTGGAGGAGAGGATTAAGAAAAGCCATAGGAGTTAAGTATTCAATCCTGTGTTTTGCGTAGCTTTTGAGTCAAACAGTTAATTCTTGACTACAGGTATATAGTAGAGTTGTTGACTGAGGCTGTGAACTTCATCGAGAAGCTTGAAACACATTTGCAGACAGTGAGAAGTGTCCCTCAGATACCCACCTTAATGAAGAATATGGTGAGTAGCAGAAGAACTGAACTTTCTGCATCTTCTGGCATTGAGAACTCAGTGCTGTTTGAGTGTGTGGGCTAGTTTTGTATCTTGCTACGTGCAGGGATGAAATGCTTCTCTGTCCTTTTTCAGGACACTGCTCTGACAAAAACAGAGATGCTAGTGAGAGATTTGGAAGAACTGACAGAGCAAATAGTGAAATGGAGGGAAGTGCAAAAAGAGGTACATTCTGACAGCATCTGCAGTCCTGGTGAATTCGACTTCAGCCTTTCTTTAACCTGACAAATAACTCCTCTGCAGAAAGGATGGACATTCAAAGAACTGCCCTTTAGTAGTCTTCTGTGAACAGAACAATGTAATTGTGCCTTAATTCAACGGGGACCTTGCAGCTAGTTATTTTTCTGTTCTTACGTGATAGTTGAACAGATAACAATTCTTAGCTGTTTAAAAAAAATGCAATTGGACAATGAGCAATAGCTCATACAAAGGCAAATCAGTGAGAAGACTTAGAACCTGTACCTTCAATGAAGGTTGTGTGTTGTGTGTTTTTGTTGTTTGTTTTGTATTGGTTGTTCATTTGCTACATTTGTTTTTGTAAATACTATATTTTATATGTCATAATAAAATTTCAATAAAGTAATTAGATTACTAAGAAGTCTTTCTGTATTTTATTACAAAAATCTTGCAATTAAAACAATACAAGGTTGATATGGAAACTAAGCTAGATCTGAGATTTCAAACCACCACCCACTGGGTGAAACTGGAACACTTTTCCCTGAAAGCAGTAGAAATGAGAGAGAACTAATTTTGTTAGCCAATGTTGTGACTGATGTGATTTCTTGGAAAAGGAGGGAATGGACTAAGTGATGCATACAATTTCTACTCATCTGCATTTTTATGATAAATATGTCTTTAGTCTCTTTTGCTTGATCTATCTTTCCTGCCTCCCTCTAAATAAAAGTCATATTTTGTGGAAATGACTAATTGAGCCAAAACATTGATTGCTCCAGTCTGCAGCCTTCATCATGTGTGTATTTTTAGAAGTCCTGTTAGTGAAACTCCCCTCGCAGCATATCTCTAATCCAGGAGCACTGCTGCCTGGGACCCTTCAAATTTAACATTCAAGGCATGATCAAACAGGAACTGCTTTATTCCTTTTTAATAGCTGCGTGCATCAGCTCCTCTTGTCAACTCAACTCCTATGTTCAACAGCTTGATTGCTGGTTTTTATCTTAAGCCTGTTATTTTTGAAGGCAACCACTAGGTGTCTCGGTAGCCTGCAACTTTATCTGTGGTTGATCTGATTAATGGCATGTTCGCATCTGTGCAGCATTTTGCAAGCTGTGTTTTACAGATGAGAAACAGCAGAATTAAGGAAGAAATACTTGATTCACTATTGAGCACGCTCTGATCAAGTTAGTTGTAGTTGCTCTGCCATATATTAAATAGTTGGAAAATACTGAGAATTCCATCATTCTTCCCTGTAAAATGTATTATTTGGCTGTAATGTCTTAACTGCCTAACTGTTCTCTGCTATAGGGTTTAAGCATAGCTGATTTTTCTCCCTGCTTCTGTTGAGAAGTTAAGGCAAATGAGTTGGGCTAAGTCAAGTAGACTGCTGGTAGATAGGATCTAAGAGTATAAACTGGAGCTCGACCTCTTCAAATTTTGATGAGATCTTTATGTGAACAGCTGTCATAAATCATGGAGGATTTCAGTCTTAAGTTCCATATGGTGCAATCATTGCAGGTGTGGAAAGGAAAATCTTCCCCACAAAGGCAGAAGAGCTGTGGGTTTTTTTTTTTTTTTTTTTAATTTTATTTATTTTTTAATTCTCTGATACAGAAGGGAGCAGAATCCAGGCTTCTGGAATCGAGGTCCTGTACCTCACTGACCAGGCTAATCTCCCTCTTGCTTGGATTGTTTTATAGTGCTGCTTTAGGTGGGTAAATTAAAGCTGTTGTAAGGCGTCTATATATCATGTTAAAAAAAAAAAAAAAAAAAAAGGAATGGAGAATGCAAACACGATGGTAATTGGGGAGCTTGGCACAAAGGTGCTTCTATTTTGAAGTGGAAACATGGGGGAAAAGAAGTCCACTAAAACTGGGTGACAGCGGTGGCAGAAAAGGAGTAGGAACCGCCACTCAAGCGCGTAACTTCTGTCCATGCAACAGCTTGAACGTGAGAGGAGCCGCAGCTCTGTGGAGGTTTTGGGGCTCCCTTTCCCAGGCCCAGCAGACCCTGCGGAGCTTCCCGAGGCAGCGGCCCAGCGTTCCCTCAGGGCTGCCGGGCACGGGGCCCTCCCGCGGGGCCGGGCCGGGGCGGCGGCTCCTCCCCGCGCGCAGGGGGCGCGACGCGGGGCCGGGGCCGGCGCTGGCGCTGCCCGGGCTGCCGCCCCTGAGCCGAGCCGAGGCCATGGCCACCGTGAAGGTGGCCCTGCGGGTGCGGCCGCTCAGCAAGAGGTGCGGGGCGCGGCGGGGCGCGGGCGCGGGCAGGGCGGCGTCCGTCCTCACGGCGCCCGGGAGCTGGGGAGGGCCGCTCGGAAACGGGAATCAAGGGCGCTTCCCCTCGCTGCCCTCCTGCCGAGCCCCCCTGCCATGCCGGGCAAGGGAAGGGGCCCCGCCGTGGCGGCGGAGGCTCCATCGGTCGGTGCCCGCGCTGCAGGAGGGCCCGGGCGGCGCCGCGAGCGCTTCCCTCGGTGCCGCCGCGTCCCCAGCGCGAGCCCCGCGCGGGGTCCCCGCGTGTCCCGCGCCCGGCGTGGGGATCCCGCCGGCGGGCCGGGGGCGCGCCTCGAACCACCGGCAGCCGGAACAACATACATATACACATATATATGTGTATGTATATGGATATATGTGTGTGTATATATATACACACACACAGAGTGAGAGTCTAGTCGCTTAGCCGGTTGTGCAGTGCCGTGTTTTCTAAGTTCTTCCCTGTTGATGGATTTTGCTCGAGCCTTTATAACTTTTACTTTAAGTGCGATGCTGGTGAGGCGGTCACCCAAATCGTTGCTCTGCTTGAGGGGTGTTTGTGAACAAAGATACTGGTGAGAGCTGGAGAAAAGAGTGCTGTTCTGAAATAATAGAAATGGAAAATATGTTTTGGCTTTAACTCAAAACTGACTTCTGAAAGGGTCTGTGCATAGTTTTGTTAAAACTCAGATGTTTAATATAAATCTGATTATAACACAGCTGTGAACAGAACCCACTGAGCTGAGATACCCATATGAGCTGGTGTAGCATAAGTGCTGCAGCATGGAAATAGCTAAGCTTAGCCTTACATTGCTTAGTGTTGCGTTAGTGTTGGAGATAGTCTTTGGTTTTCTTTTTCTGTATTTTTTTACTGTCATCCTTAGCTTTGTTTGTGCTAAACTGGTTAGTTATGCTGTCATTATGCTCCCCGGAAATAAAAAAAGCAATGCAAACATGCTGAATATCAACATTAAGTGACAGCTTGGAATGATACTAAGTTACCCAAACCATAGGACCCTTTTGTTCCAGTCATGCAGAGTTCACTAGAGATGGAAAGTATCGCAGAGTTCGCCTTGGCCGTGTATTTTATTGTGCAGTCTGTGCACGTACAATAGCATTTGTCTGCCTCTTTGCAATAGCGTGATGACTTCGTTGGGTCTCTTGTGGATATCAGTTAATCCAAGTGTTCCTTAGCGGCTGGGGAAGTTGGTACAAAGGGGATGGTGGGAAACCAGGGGATAACATAGGAAGAGATTGCAGAATAATTCCATCTGCTCAACCTCCAGCGGTGTAACGGGTGCGGTGGGGATGCAGGGACCAGGCTTGGGGCGGTTGGCCCCAAGGCAGAAGTCATTTACTCCCCAGGCCACAAGGAGGGTCAGCAAAAGCTTTCAAGATGGATTATTACTATCTGTTTTCAATGAAAGGAAAGGAGGAGTGGCTGGATGTTGCCTGTGAACGTTCTGGCAGGAGAACTTTGTTTTCTAGGCTTGCCCAAAATTACCCAAGGCTGATATCTTCTTAGGCAGATGGCAAATACAGGAATACTTAAAATAACCTGTGTAGAGATTTAAATAATGAAAACTTTCCAAGAAGAGGAAGGCCTCTTCCTGCCAAAAAATGTCAGTTTAACTGGGGTGAGGTGCTTTAAGTTAGAGTACTAGGCAAAAATATCAACCTTCCATCTTAAAAGTTCCAAATTTTGAAAAGCTTTGGGCAAAGACTAGAATCAGAGTTAGCTGGTCATTTGCAGGTGGTTGTCGATTTGACTTGCTCCTTGTTTCTGTTCATTCAGTTCACAATGGTGAATGAACTTTGGTGTTACATCTTAAAATTTACAAACTTAATTTGGGTGATTGTGGTCTTAATGTGGGTGATTATAAAATTCTACCTTCTGCTTAAAGTATTCATTAAATAAAAAAAAAATTAATCACATCTGCTATT